GTTTTAGTTATCCACAACCCTTGTTTAGTATCCTGCTCAATCCTGCAGTATCCAGCAAGATTGTCGGTCTAATGGCCAATGGGTCAAAAGTCAACCCAGTTTTTTTGCGGGAGAATATCTATCTGGACATGATGGCTTAATAGCTGGATAGGCGCACTGCGAAACCAGGTGGGGAGGGAAAGGAAGGGAAAGGAATTTAAGTCTCCTAAACTTCCATAATTTAGGGATGGTGATTAGCTTGAATGATGCCCTTTTCAGTCAATTTTCTTTCAAAAAGCCTAAACACTTCGCAGCATCTTTAAAAGAAAAAATGTCTGCGGGATAGCTATTTCTAAACAGATATTCCAGTACTTAAATCCTTATTAGACTCCAGCTCTGGATTACAAGTCTGTAGCTGTAACTACAAAGCTGATTGGCATGTCTCCTCCCATTTTTCTGCAGTTTTGCACGACAACCAGCTGACCCACACAGATCTCAAACCTGAAAACATCTTGTTTGTAAACTCGGAATTTGATACCATTTACAATGAGAAAAAGGTGGGTTTCATTCGAATATGAAGGCCGGCCAGTTGCTTTTACATGGAAATGAGGAATATCCGTTGTCATAAGGGAGTAGCTTATGATTAAAGCAATATTCAGTAGGGCAACTTTCCCAGAATTCAGAAGCTTGAAGGCTATGTAAAATGGCCACTTACCTCGCCGTAGCTCTGATTCTTACTGTATACAAGTTAGGTCTTTTTGCTGATGCTAAGCCATTTAACTTCTTTTGTTAGCTTTGGGGATTTGTGACCTTCAGGCAGCAGATGGCCATTTTCCACCTAGTCAGGGGAAAAAAAATGGCTATTTATAGAATATTCCCTTGAGAATATCACATTTTTGAGAAGGCAACGGGCGTCCTCTCTTCTGCCTTGCAGAACTGTGAAGAGAAATCTATCAGGAACACCTGCATCCGGGTGGCAGATTTTGGAAGCGCCACTTTTGACCATGAGCATCACACCACTATTGTGGCGACTCGGCACTACCGTCCACCAGAAGTGATCTTGGGTGAGTCGACACTCCTGTTCCTGTTGATTTTCACATTGAGCCAATTTGTTAAATAGTTGCTTTACAAAAAGCAGGAAGCAAAGCGCTTGAAATAAAAAAGAATCAGCAGTTTGGACCCAAAGGATCGAGTGGGAAAGAGAGAACGCAACCATCTTTGTAGACTTCCAGTTGTGATCGCCGAAGTTGTCCTCTGTTCACTTGGATGAAAAGGTGCTATGAAAAACAAGTGTGATTGTGTACCTTCTTTTGCAGAACTGGGCTGGGCACAGCCTTGCGATGTCTGGAGTATTGGTTGTATCCTGTTTGAATATTACCGGGGATTCACACTTTTCCAGGTATGTAAATTTCATTGTCTCTGGATAGATTCAGGTATTTATTTTTTCTTCTGTGTTAAAGCTTGAGCACTTTTGACAGACCTTCAGTGGTGTTTTGTAAACTGTAGGTAGTCCTTGTTTAACAACGGCAATTGGGACTGGAAACTCCATCGCTAAGCAATGGGATCATATAGTGACGTATGAGTGCATTGTTTAGAAATAGACCCAGTTCCCATTAAGCAAATCATCCTGAGTCCTTAAGGGAGAATTTCGTGTGACTGCAATATTCGACTTCTTGCTGGCTTCCCCGTTGACTTTGTTAGAAGCCAGCTGGGAAGGTTGTAAGTTGTAGTCATGTAACTGAGAACACGGCAATGTCATAATTGCAGTAATTTGACCACAGGGACACTGTGATGGCCACAATTACAAGGACCCCGTCATAAGTACCCTTCATTTAGCACTATCGTAACCTTGAACAAGCACTGGTCATTAAGCCTTGCCTATCAATGGCTATTCAGTTGCAGCATTCAACATCTCGTCTACGTGCTAAGGTGCACTCATTGTGTTTTATTATGTTTTGGCGACAAAGTATGGTTGACTTTGGTAGTATTTGGTAGTATTCAGCCTCTAGTCTACTTCACACGAAAAAGATGAACTTGACTTTTTACTTACTTTCTTGGAGTCAGTGAGAAAAGGGAAAAATATGCTGATTCTGCTTTTTGTTTTATTTTGCTGAGTAGAAATAACTTATTTTGTTTGACTTCACAGACTCATGAGAACAGAGAACACTTAGTAATGATGGAGAAAATCCTTGGCCCAATTTCACAGCACATGATCCGCAAAACCCGGTAGGAGTGCTTGACTCTGAGTAAGTTTGGTCTTTTCAGGAGCAGGAAGTAGGCCATCATCATCTTGAATCAGCCAAGGATTACTTGTTGACAACATAAGATGCTGGTCAAGGTTTTTCTGGAAGAGTAACACACACGTGAGGAAGTACTAAACCTGTAAATGAAAGATTTGTTTACACAGTGGAGCCATTGTATGTTGTAGAACAATTTCTGCGGTGGTTTTATTAAGTGCTTAGGGGAAAAAATGAAGCTTGTTTGCCTCAACCCTTAAAGTTAGTTTTCTGTGTGCTTTCTTTTTCCTTGTTTGCAATCAGGAAACAGAAATATTTTCACAAAGGAAAATTAGTATGGGATGAGAACACTTCTGACGGAAGATACGTGCAAGAGAACTGCAAACCACTACAGGTAATGGGGAGAAAAAGCTTTTAATAATGCTCTTAATTCATTAAAAACAGCAAGAACAATGGACTATTACCTGAATTCATCTTTCATTGTGCCTCTGGAACAGGAAAGCCAGCAGAGAATGGCTGGGAATGGCTTGTAAATGAAAGAGAAGTCCATATGCCCTAAAATGAGCTGAAAGTGATAATCAAACATTTTGCCACTTTTATACCCCCAAAATCAGAAGACAGGCTCACTTAAATTGTGTCTATCAATCAAGTGAGCCCAATTTCACTAGACAAGATTGATTTGCTTTTTTTTTTTTAAAGGGTTCGCCTCCTGTAAACTTCTTATCTTGCCTGTTTTCACTTCTGTAACATTTTTAAAGCAGGGGATTATTCCCTATACATTACTATCCTATACATTGCTAATATATAGTAATATATTTTTCAAAATCTTGCGTTATCACATGAAAAAAAAACCCTAATTATTTCAAGGGCCAGGAGATTATGCCCCTGCCCTTCAAAAGCCCCAGCAATTTATGGATCCCTATTCGTCTTCTCTCCCAGACGTACATGCTCCACAATTCCACTGAGCATCTGCAGTTGTTTAATCTGATGATGCAAATGTTAGAGTTTGATCCCGCACAGCGGATCACGTTCGGCGAAGCTCTGCTCCACCCCTTCTTCGCCGGCTTATCTCCAGAGGAACGGCGGCTGACTTGCCGAGATTCAAGCCGCGATTTAAGCAGATGACAGCTGAATAGAGGGGAGTCCACAGCAGGATATGTAAATACTCCGAGATTAGTCTGACCTCTGCAGAGAACAACGTCAAGGGGTTCCCCCCCCCCCCGGGAACACCATGGACTGCGGTGTTGGTGCGATCTAAGATTGGACATCAGACGTGGGAGGGGAACGGGACTGCAGTCCAGAAGCACAGATTTATCTCATATTTATATGTTGTAAAGTTCAAATAAAAGTGTTTCATATTGTTTGATAATTTACTTATGACTGCGTCTAACTACTTTGACTTCCTATGAATGAACTTCTACGTTTAACAATAAAATGGTGGTTTTATATCTTGCCACAAATCTGGGAATTTTACAGTAATGTTTCTTCCCTTGCTGGCTGTGTTTTTAAGCCCTTTTTTTCTTTGTAAAGGAGAACATGGATATAGGATCTTGTGCTTCAGTGTATTTGGTCACTCTGCATTTTGTGGCTTACTCCAGTTGTGAAATTGACTTCAAAGACCCAGGCTTTGTAAAGCTAAAGTACAGCTTAACCACCTGAAGGAGCTATGTCGATATTCACGGTCAACCTGCGAAGTTTTAACTAAAAATAGCTGGTTTTGAGAAGGTGTATATATACCAAAAGTCAAGCCCTACCTTTTTTTTCAGAGAAAATATTCTGCATTTAGCAATGTTCAAAAGTTATGCATCAGTAAAGTAAGGAAGCGTTTAAAAGAAAATGGCAGCCAATCCAAACAATACATTTTATATAATAAATTGCCTTTGGGACGTGAATTCTGAGGCCTGACTTACGTATTGAGATATACGTATATTTATCTGAAGATGAGCTGTAAATGGAATATTTGCTAAGAAATATGGTTTGAGTGCCATACTAGCCAGCACCATGACAAATCCTGAATTGAAATGAGCTACAGAAAAGTGCTGATTGTCTAGTACGCCGTTATTGCACCATTTCTTCTGACAGACCCGCTTCATCGTTTGCCATTTGTCTCAGCAGAGGGCTGGACTAGATGACCTCCAAGGTCCCTTCCAACTTTATCATCCTCATTCATTCCTACGGATAATTTATGCAAAAGGTCTGATTTTTCAGGGATTTACACAACTCTTGAGCCATTCCAAGATCTTGTATTAATTCAACCCAAGCTTGTGGTTCGATCTTAAAAGATGCACAACTTCCATTAAATTATAAGTTATATGCATGGCACTAAACACCACAGTAAGAATCGGGGTGTGTAAATTCTCTGCCCCCGTCTCCAATTTTAATTTTTTAAAATGTATTTTAAGCCTAAATTAGAGAGAGGCCTAGTGGTGAAGATGCTCGCCTCCCATTCGGAAGGTTGAGAGTTCAATTCCAGGGAGCAGCAGATGTTTTCTCTCGCAGGGTACCTGCTATGAACTCCATATAGGTGTTAGGAAGGGCATCCAGCAGGTAAATGCTCAGCTCTATCCAGTCACCCTGACTCTACCCTGAAGTAAGGGATTATGGGGTCATAAGAAGGGAGTTTAAGTCTAAATTAACTAGCACGGTAGCTGTTGCTTATATATGTATTGATTACAACAGTGTCGATAGCTTCGGTCTGGCTGACATTTCTTGGGGGACGGAGAGAGAAACACCAATGTCCTGCTTGGGAAGCAAATGGAAATGAACACGACTTGGCAAGCGAGCTGCTTTTACTGCAGTTTAATCATTGTGATGAATGAGAATTCTGCATGGCATCTTTGGAGACGAGAAAAGGCTGAGCATGGTGGATTTCTTGAAGCCGGGCGTCTTCCGCATCCCACTTGGCTAATGCACGGAGCGCCTGAAATCTACACAGCGCCACAGGACTGCAGGAACAAGCCCCCCTATAGCAAGAACTGGGTCCCCGGAGAGCATGGTAAGAATTCCCCACAAAAATGGAGAAACACAGGAGAAGCAAGGGTCAGTACGACAGTGCCTACAGAAACGGTGGCTCATGGGCTTTTCAGTGTGCACGACCACAAGGGTTGCAAGCCAGCTGCCTCTTATGGGTGTCCTGGACTACCTGACGACATCACGTCCGTTCCATAAGCCCTGCTGTGTGCTTGTTCTAAAGGGAAGTAGACCATTGTGCCAGGATCGAGCACTTAAGCCTTCCTGGACCTTTGTATCCAATGGGAACGGCATGGGCCCAACAAAGCTCCTAGTCCTTTCTGTCCTGTGCACATAGTGCCCACCAGAAGGGAAAAAAAGGAACAGCCATTAATCAGCGTTATGCTCTTCACAGTAAGATGGCAGGGCGCAAGTTATGGTGGAAACCTAAACGTTGGCACTATCTTGTCTGCTCCTCAAGCACCCCGAGCCCCTGACGACACCCACACAACGTTCACGAGCAGAAACGGGAGAAGCAAGTGCTCATTTAGCCATGAGAAGGGAAACGAGGGCTGGTCCTGGGACGGAGCACGTTACCGCGCCACGGTGACCCAAACGTGGCCATCCAAGAACACGCGAGTTTGAAAGAGAGAAAGGACAATCCCAGCACAGCCAAATTGTGCTCGTTTCTCCGGTGATCCCGGAAGGCCAGGGGCAGCACCCAAGCAACCTTTCCCACTTTAGTGCTGAAAGAAAAAAGAAAAAAAGAAACCCCAAAGTTGAAAAGAAAAATCACAACGGTCTGGTACACAACCAAACCCAGCAGGGCTCCTGGCGAGAGTTTCCTCCCTGCTCAGTTTCCCACCACCAACTGTGAGCGGGTTGAAGACGTGAGCTGCCTCCTTCGGCAATGGCACAAGAGCGTGGATGGCTCAGAGGAAGAAGAGTCCTTGCGGTTCTCCCCCCCCCCCAGCGCTGCGCCGCTACTCCTTGGAGCAGAAACACAGCCCAGAAGTTAATATTTCCTTAAGGCGTCCGAACGTTTCGTAACTGCCGGGATCCGTCGGGTAGTCTTAGGCGGTCTTCCCCTGGACAAGAGGGGCCAGGTTTCCCTCGCTTTAGCTTAGGTCGAGTGCAGCGGGATGACAAATTTGCAGCCAAAGGGCGAGTGGTAATTTATGCCCACCTCCTGGAACACTTTCCGGGGGATGCCGATGTCGCAGAGATAGAGGCGGCCGGCCCTCTCGCTCAGGGGCAACGGCAGTCCCAAGGCCAGCGACCACTTGGCGTCGACCTCTTGCTCCATTTCGTTCACGGGAGGGTCCAAGCTGAGGACGGGGGCTCTGTTCTGGTTGGCCCAGTCCACGGCCGCTTTGTACCAAGGCTGGTCCCTCAGGAAAGCGTTTTCGTGGCAATCCAAGCAGTTTATCACGAGGTCCACAGGCGTCTCTGGGAGATCTACGGGGAGGGAGGAAAAGAGAGGGCCTTAGGCATTGGGCTGACGGGATATGGTGCCAACCCCGGCCACGGACAGCTTGGGACCAGTTCCTCTCTCACAGCACTGCGGTGGAGATCAAAAGGGAAGCCCTCCGTGCGGGGTGGAATACAAATCAATAAAGTCGTAACGTATAGGAGGTTTTGCAGGAGTCTCTCAGAAAGGCTAGTAACCACTCAGGAAAGGACTTTGGGGGGCTCTGAGTAGTCTTAATTTGTCGCCTCTGCCTGTGGCCCAATTCACCTATTCGGCTTGTATCCCAGAGATGGAAAAACAAGCCAGCATCTCCCCACTAGATGGAGCTAATAAGGTTCAAAAATGTAACAGGCGGTTGAAAGCAGCTAATGCTTTTCCCATCTAGAACAGTGGTTCTCAACCTTTTAATGCCGTGACCCCCAACCGGTCGTAAGTCGAGGACTGCCCAAATGGTGCAGCACCGTTTGCAGAATGGGACTTTCGGCAGGCTCAGCAGGGCAGAGACAGCCTGGACAATTCCTATTGGCTTTTGAAAGCCAACAGAATTAGACTCTATTCAAGAGAGTCTGTTCTATTGGCTTTCAAAAGCCAATAGAATAAAAGGGAGTAGCCCAGCTAAGGAAAAGGGGAAAAAAATGGCGGACTGCGTTGTTTGGTGACCCCCGTGAAATGGTCGTTCGACCCCAAATGGGGTCCCGACCCACAGGTTGAGAACCACTGGTCTAGAAGCTTTAGTAGACCTCAACTTCCTCGGCCTCTTCCAACTGCCCCCCCCCCCGGCATTAGCAAAAAACAAAATATTCCAAATCTGCCACACACCCCCAAAGCATGATTGGATTACAATTTCTATCACCCCACCTTCTCCCTAAGCCTCCCCCCCTCCCCCTTTCAAACAAACACGAAAGGCGACATGACTTCTGGAGGGTTCCAAGACGAGATCCAACTTTGTGAATCCCTTAACGGATGGTTTTATGGAGGGCTTGGAACAAAATTCAGGCTTCCCAATTTCAAGTTTTTAGAGGGTGGGAAAATCTGGGTAGTGATCTGGAGCATTTTTTTTTAAAGTTTTATCCTGTTTTTCTGTTTGCTATTTTATTGTGCTGGCTTTTACCGTGTTTATGATTTGGGGGCTTATTAATTAGCCATCTGAAGACTTTGAAATTGAGCGATAAATTTGAGGGGTCCTTGGTGCTCTCTGAGCTTGCTTGTTTTCTTGCAGACGTTTCATTACCCAAACTAGATAACATCTGGGCTAGTTAGTATAGGGCTAGCACTGATGATGTTCTAGATAACATCAGGGCTAGTTAGTATAGGGCTAGCACTGATGATATTCCTTAGTTGGTTCATTATTATGAGCCGAGGTGGCGCAGCAGTTAGAGTGCAGTACTGCAGGCCACTTTAGCTGACTGTGTTCAGCAGGTCAGCGGTTCAAATCGGCTCAGGGTTGACTCAGCCTTCCATCCTTCTGGGGTAGGTAAAATGAGGACCCAGATTGTTGGGGGCAATGTAAATATATATACATATACATTGCTTACTGGTGTACACCGCTTAGAGAGTGCTTGCACTTAAAGCGGTATATAAGTCTCATAAATAAATAAATAAACATCTGCAAGAAAACAGGCTCACAGAGCACCAAAGACCCCAGAGTCTTCCTCCTCCTCCTCCTCCTTCTCCTCCATGCAAAACCCACTCCCTTCTAGCACTGATGATGTTCCCTAGTTGGGTCATGAAATATCTGCAAGAAAACAACCCAGCTCAGAAGCAGCCAAGAACCCCATTCTCCTTTTCCTCCACTCTGCCTCCCCCCTCCCTTTTAGCACTGATGATGTTCCCGAGTTGGGTCATGAAACATCTGCAAGAAAACAAGCAAGCTCAGAGGGCAACCAGGACCTCACATTTCAACCCTGAGCTACAAATATTCTCCTTTATTGGTAGAGAGAAATTTCAAAGGCAGAGCGAATCCCCCCCTTCCACATTGGCAGTTACCTTTAATACTGGACACCTGCTGGCCTTGCGTCTTGCCGAACAGGGTCAGTTCATTGGTGATGGATTCCAGCATCTTGACGAAATTGGGGAGGAAGAGAATGACATCCACGTCGTGATTGGAGAGGTGTCGCCCACAGCTGATTCCCTGGGCCCCTTTCACGTGAGGGCCGCACAACAAGGCAACGGTAGGTCGCTGATGGATGTTTTTGGGGTTCAGCCTGAAAGCGAAGGAGGTTTTACTTTCGTCACGTGTGGATCTGCCGGCTAAGGTGCAGAAGAGGAAGCCCCGCTTGTCGCCACCGCTCTAGGAAAAGAACTTCCGAATCTTTACCTGTTGGGTCCTCCGAGCAAACTCAGTGCCATCTGGCTGGCACACACCCCCGCCATCTCCAGCCTCCGCTCCAGCGTCAAGCCGTGTTTCTCAGCCACGGAAAGCAGCTTTTTGTGTAGCTCGTAAGAGACACTTGGGACCACCAGCCCAGAATCTGAAAGGCCAGAATCAGCAGTTGTTGATGATGATGATGATGATGATGGAAGGGACCTTGGAGGTCATCTAGTCCAGGGGTTTCCAACCTTGGCAACTTTAAGACTTGTGGACTTCAACTCCCAGAATTCCTGGCTGAGGAATTCTGGAAGTCCACATGTCTTAAAGTTGCCAAGGTTGGAAACCCCTGATCTAGTCCAACCCCCTGCTCAGGCAGGTAACCCTATACCATTCCAGACAAATGGCTGTCCAGTCTCTTCTTAAAAACTTCCAGTGTTGGAGCATTCACTGCTTCTGGAGGCAGGTTGTTCCACTGGTTAATTGTCCTCACTGTCAGGAAGTTTCTCTTTAGTTCTAGGTTGCTTCTCTCCTTGATGAGTCTCCATCTGTTGCTTCTTGTCCTGCCTTCAGGCGCTTTGGAGAATAGCTTGGCTCCCTCTTCTTTGGGGCAGCCCTTGAGATATTGGAACACTGCTATCATGTCCCCCCTCGTCCTTCTCTTCATTAAACTAGACATACCCAATTCCAGCAACCATTCCTTATATGTTTTAACCTCCAGTCCCCTAATCATCTTTGTTGCTCTTCTCTGCACTCTTTCTAGAGTCTCTACGTCTTTTTTACATCACGGTGACCAAAACTGGACACTTGGAATATGGCATCCAGTTTTGTTCACCACGATGTAAAAAAGATGTTGAGACTCTAGAAAGAGTACAGAGAAGAGTTATCCAAGAGTAAAGGGATTAGGGCAGATCCATCCCCTACGTCGCCATCCAAAGGAAGGACAGGCTCAAGCAACAGGACTTGACCCTTTTCAACTTGGCCATCCCACTCTGGAATTCTTTAGGACCGTCGACACAATGAATGGCTTTTTCAGTCACATGAAGCTGAAGGAACTATGGCTGCTCCCAATTCGATTTGCCAGCATGTGAACAAGCCTAAAAGAGACTTAAGCTGGTTTCAGAGCTGAGGGACAGAATCCAGACCGTCGAGAAGAAGCAGGGAGGCTGTGCTCCTCCGGATGTGTCTGAACTACAGTTACCAACACCTCATGCTAAAAAAGGGGGTTACTGTGAATTTGTGCAGCTATTGGAAGCATAGAAGACCCTCATCCCTTCCTTAAGGTATGGCTTACAGCGACAGAGAAGGAAAAAAAATGATTATTCTTAAAGATTATTTCAGTTGTCCCTCGGTAGCCTCAGTGCCAGATCTTGATGGGACACCTACCGAGGTAATCACAAGATCTGTATTTTTTTTAATAGCGATAGAACCTGGTTTGGTTTTGGCTTGAGAGAGATGGGCGAATTCAATTAAATCGAAGTGAACCCTGATTTGTGAACCCAATGGCAACAATAGGTTGTCTGAATGTCTTTTGTGACAAGCTTATTACAGAAAAAAGGGAAGCCAAATTGTATGTAGTTTGACCTTGCATGTTCACAGCCAATTAAAGTAGCTGCCTTATCTTTATCGGCTTTATTACGTTAAGTATCAATGTTTCGGGTATTTTGTTCTTGAAACTCACACTAAAACAGTGATAACTTTATTGCAAAACAACAACAACAAAAAAAACCCCAACCACCTAATCCTAGATATTCAAAGTCAGAGAGACACAAGCACTGGTTACAAAGAAGAGGGGGTCAACCTATTCTCCAAAGCGCCTGAAGGCAGGACAAGAAGCAACGGGTGGAAACTAATCAAGGAGAGAAGCAACCTGGAACTAAGGAGAAACTTCCTGACAGTGAGAACAACTAACCGGTGGAACAATCTGCCTCCAGAAGCGGTGAATGCTCCAACACTGGAAGTTTTTAAGAAGAGACTGGACAGCCATTTGTCTGAAGTGGTATAGGGTTTCTTGCCTGAGCAGGGGGTTGGACTAGATGACCTCTAAGGTCCCTTCCAGCTCTTCTGTGATTCTGCTAACAGAGCGGTTGTAAGTGCAAACCCAACATTTTCTGTGGGCAGAGTTTGGGAAGTAAGCAAGCGCTAAGCGACCGGTTGTAAAGCGAGGACTCTGCAACGCCTCTGAGCCCCAACGGTGGTGAATGGAGGGTGCAGAGTTGGGCTACTCTCCAGGGACACGGGCCTCTTTCGACATGATATTCGTGCTCTCGTTTCGCCGGCCTCGCGTGCCTCCACAGCTCTTGGCTCACGATAGCCCTTCATGTAAGGGGATCTTGTTGGGAACATGAGAGAGATAAGGTGTGCGATTACACCGCCCGGCTGCACGCAAGGCCAGTGCTGCACTACAGCTGCACGCTGCTCGGTGCTAATCGCTCTCAGCGTGAGCGCACCCAGCGGACTCCCCTCCCTGCTTCTCCCTCACGCAAGGGCAACCAGTCGGACCAGCTGTCTTAAATAAACTCAGGAAGGGCGGCAATCAAAAAGGTAGCGTGTAAAGCTAGAGGGGAAATATATATATATATAGATAATTACAGAGCTGCAACTGGAGGCTGGCCTGGAGCCAGATTTAAATTACACTTGGGCTGGGAGATAAAAGAGTACCACAGATCAGCTCAGGACTGGATAGGGTAGTGATGGTGAACCTTTTAGAGGCTGCAACCCCAAACCCACTTTTGTACCATCGTGTGCCGGGTGGACGTGGCGTATTGGGTGGACGTGGCTGCGGTGGTAACAACAGGCTGGGTGGGACTAAAAATTTCAATCAATCAATTCCAACTTTCCGAGATCTTTTTTTTCCCGCGAGAAGTTGAAATTAACTGATTGAACCTTTTTTTTTTTTTTTTGCACACGGCGGCAGAGGCCTAAAGCGAAAAGGTTTTATAAAACCCAGCTGAAGGCCTAGGACTGGGGTGAGGGCACGTGTGCCCACAGAGAGGGCTCTGCGTGCCGCCAGTGTCACACGTGTGATAGGTTCGCCACCACGGGGATAGTGTATCACCACACTTGCCAACCGACACAGCTTTGTGAAGGACACTGAAGGAGGCAGTTACACTTCCTTTGCTGGGCTCCTGCTTTTCTCCCACTCTTTATTCCAATTTATTCCAAATCCCACCCACGCCATTTGCCCCAGGCCTTATCACCAGTGCTTGCTTCTATGGGGTTGCCTGCAACCGCAGCAGGCTTTTTCCCTACACAAACTATGTTTTCTCCACCAGACTGCGGTCACCCTCCAATTCAACAGGTCACGTGAGAATCGCAGCTCCGCTCTGAGACCTAATCTGATTTGCTGGAGGCAAATGGCCCACAGTTGAGAGGAACATCGGGGGGGGGGGGGTAGCAGTGGCCAGATACACCAGCTTGCTCCAGTTCCTTCTCTGTGCAGAACATCTAAAGTAAATCAAGAGTAACCACACCGCTATTAGACCTTCCTTTTCAAAGCAGCGCCCCAAATAATTTCCTGAGACTTACAGGAAGTGTGTACAACTTACAACAGACATGTCAAACACAAGCCCGGGGGCTGGATGCGGCCCGCAAGGTGGTTTCATGTGGCCCGTGAAGCCATCCTGGAAACAGTGAGGGAACGGCCCCCACTGCCTTGGCCCTGGTCCAGGCCGGCCGGGAGCCCATGTACAATTTTGTGGTGGCCATCTATGCTGAAACGCATTCAGTCTTAGCTCCACAAGGCCGTCTGGAAACAGCGAGGAACCAGGAGAACCTTGAGCAGCAGCCTTGAGGAAGTGGGGCTGGGCTTGGTGCCGCGGGTGCTCGAAGGCCAGTCTGGGCATTTGACCTCTGCTGCCCAGGGCTCCACCATCCAACCCCCCCTGGCATGGCCTGAGAGGAACAGTGAGGCTCCTCCAGTGGACCAGGCCTTGGTGCTTGCCCTGGTCCCCACCCCCTTCTGCCAGAGACCCTCAGATCTGTCCCACTCCTGCCCAGGCCCCCACAGGCACCCTTGACGCAAATGATGTAGAGCTGGCCACGCCCACCCAGTAGGCTGCACCCACCCTGGCCACACCCACCCAGCCCCCCCCCGAGGGCAACTGCAATGCTGATGTGGCCCTCAATGAAATTGAGTTTGACACCCCTGCCTTACAACCTCAATTCAGCCCAACAGTTCTGGGACAGTTGCCAAAGGAGTTTTGCCCCATTTTACGACTTTCCATGCCATAGTTGTTAAGTGAAACACAGCCCTTGTTACGTTAGGAACACGGCTGTTTAGCGAAGCTGGGTTCCCTGGGAACTTTGCTTGTCAGACGGTCGCAAAAGCGGATCACGTGAGCAACCCCTCCCCCGGGGATGCTGCGACCGTCATAAAAGCGAGCCGGTTGCCAAGCATCCGAATTTTAAATCACGTGGCCATGGGGGGGGGTTGCTACAATGGTCATAACTGCGAAAAACGCTCGTAAGTCCATTTCTCCCAGTGTCGTTTTCACTTGGAACGGCCGCTAACCGAACGGCCGTTAAGCCGAGGACTGCCTGCAGGTGGGAAAAGCCAACCTTACCAGTGCAGAACTCTTTGCTCGGCTGGGGAACGGTGATCCTTCTGTACACGATGGGCTCAGACGCCAGGATGTTCTCATCGTGGCGATACCGGGCAGCCTTCTCGCTCGGCGTGCCTCGGGAGCGGGTCCCGCTCTTCCTCTCGTAGGTCTCGATCTCCTCGAACACGGCGGCCTTGTCGAAAAGGGCCAGGTTCCCCTCAAAGTCAAAATCAGTGTCCGGGATCTCCTCAATGTCGTCCCCAAAGCACTCGTCGTCCTTGTTCTTCATCGGGCCGTTCTTGGGGCCGCTTTTTTTCGGAGTCACCTGGTTGGGATGGCGGCTACTGGACGACCCTGGGAGGAAGGACAGTGGGGTCAAAGGAGCCAGGGATCTGCTTACAGCAGAGGTCCCCAACCTTTTGGGCGCTAGGGACCGGTTACGCAGAGAGAGGTTTTTCCGCGGACCGGAGGGTGCATGGTTTTGCGCGCTGCCTGCATCCCAAGGATGGGGCTTTGCTTGTTTGTGCGGACCGGTTGCTGGCATGCCGCGGCCCACTACCGGTCCCAGACTGGGGGTTGGGGACCCTTGTTCTAGTCCAACCCCCTGCTCAAGCAAGAGACTCTAAACTAGAGGTCCCCAACCTTTTGGGCAGGGGAGTTGGGGACCCCTGGCTTATCGAGTCATCCTCCACTTTGCTGGAGGATGAAGCCCCCAGCGCTGCCTTTTAAATTGTTCCTCCTTGGCTACAAAATGCTTAGGGTGGATTATGGTATCCTATGGTATCCTCAACTTGTGACCGGTTGAAATTACGGACCTCCCCAGGATGACTTAAGACCTGGGTTCCACGTTCTGATGGCTGCCCACCCAGTCACGGGATCACATTTCCAGTTCTCAGCCATCGCCATTCACAGCCCTTTGCAGCATCCCGCAATCACATGACTGCAATTTATCAGAATCACAGAGTTGGAAGGGACTTGGTAGGTCATCTAGTTCAACCCTCCCTCCCCCTGCCCAAGCAGGAGATGTGGATTTTGCCAAAAACCGCTTTTATTTTTGGTGCCTGGCAAAAAACGCCCACGGCAGACAGTGGATTCCTGTTAGCATTGCTGCGAAAAAGGCTGTTAAAATCGGGAACGGTCAGGGGGTGATCTGCTTAACAACCGGCGCGATTTACGGCTCTAATTCTAAGCTCAATTCCAGTCGTAAGCTGAGAACGGCTTGCATGATAGCAGTATTCCAATATCTCAGGGGCTGCCCCAAAGAAGAGGGAATCAAGCTATTTTCCAAAGCACCTGAAGGCAGGACAAGAAGCAACGGGTGGAAACTAATCAAGGAGAGAAGCAACCTAGAACTAGGAGAAACTTCCTGACAGTGAGAACAATTAATCAGTGGAACAGCCTGCCTCCAGAAGCAGTAAATGCTCCAACACTGGAAGTTTTTAAGAAGAGACTGGACAGCCATTTGTCCGAAATGGTGTAGGGTTTCCTGCCTGAGCAGGGGTTGGACTAGATGACCTCCAAGGTCCCTTCCAACTTTACTATTACTATTACTAACATGCATAAAGGCAGCCACCTTATCACCTGCCTTATCACAGGCAGGGCCACGCTCCGCATCTCAAGAAAGAGGAAGCTGGCAGAGCAACAGAGCCACGCCAAGGTGGGACAACGGAGACGACGCCAAAGAGACTCACACGAGTTGTGCCTGCGGCGGAAGTTTTTTGACGGGTTCAAGGATTCCATGTGTCGATCCACGTAGCTCTTAGAACATGGGTGCAGTTGGGGAGAAAGGGCAACCTCTTCGCTCTTTGCATCGGTCTTCCTGGGGATGTTCTGGGGGGCACTGCTGGGCTTCTTCAGCAATTTGCCAGTGCCATTCTGACTGGCACCACCCAGGCCCTCAAGAGCGGGAATGCCAAGGTCAGGGTGCTGGAAATCTCCACACTGTCCGTTATCGCCGAGGCCTGGAATCTCCAGAATCTTCAGCTCGGTGATGTCCCCAGCCCTAAAGAGGGAAAGAGAGCCAGAGAGGGGGTTAATTGCCCGCAACACTTGCCTCTCATTGCATCCTCTGCCCTGTTCTGTTCACTTCCGGCCAGCGTTGGATAGAAAAGGAAGAGCTACGCCTCTTGAGGGCTCCAGGCTGGGGAAGAGTGCTGTACAGGAACATAAATGAAGAGCCGAGGTGGTGCAGCAGTTAGAGTGCAGTACTGCAGGCCACTTTAGCTGACTGTGTTCAGCAGGTCAGCGGTTCAAATCTCACCGGCTCAAGGTTGACTCAGCCTTCCATCCTTCCGGGGTAGGTAAAATGAGGACCCAGATTGTTGGGGGCAATGTAAATATATATATATACATTGCTTACTGGTGTACACCGCTTAGAGAGTGCTTGCACTTAAAGCGGTATATAAGTCTCATAAATAAATAAATAAATAAATCACCCTGATTCATAGTTTAACCACAGAAATGACACTCTCAGAAGAACCTAAGTCTAGGTCTATTCAGTCACTTAAAGATGATTTCAGGTAGCCCAAGACTTACATTCTTTAACGTAACTCACTTTTGTAAGAACTGACAAGACTTCCAGGTTGCTGGTTTCCCCCCCAAGCATGGACAAAAAGACCCATCAACAACCCAAGAACTATAATCAAGCCATTTTCAATTGTCTGAATGTATACCCATTTTCCAAAGATGCTTCCAGCTTTCGAAATAGCCCATCCCTTTTATAAACACATATTGCAAAAAAAAAAAAAAAAAAAGACAGCAATTCAATTTGACATCAGCTGCTAGAAGTTCTGAAAAATAGCCATAGCTTAGTCTTATTATATACCGCTTCCCACTGCTTTACAGCCCTCTCTAAGCGGAATACAGAGTCAGCATATTTGCCCCCAACAATCTTGGGCCCTATTTTACCGACCTCGATAGGATGGAAGGCTGAGTCAACCTTGAGCCGGTGAGAACCGAACTGCCAAACTGTAGGCAGCCGGGAGTCAACAGAAGCAGCCGGCGGTGCCGCATTCTAAGCACTGCGCCACCAGGGCTCATATGAAATATAAACCACATATACCACGAATGCGCAATGCCTCCTGCTATATTTTCAGAAAAAAACCGACAACATTCCGTTTTCGAGCCTCAATGAAGAGTCCCGGAGAAGCGTTTACCTGAAGGTAACCTCCGGTACCAAACATTTGACTCCGTTATGGAAAGGCCGTGTGAGTGAAATTGTCTGGCTAGCTTGGTTCACAGCTGACACTCTTCCCTGGTAGACTCCCAGGCTATCTCCACAACTGATCGAGACGATGCTTCCAAGCCAATCTGTAGCCATGATTTCCCGGATTGCTGCAAAACAATCAAAGAGATGATAAGCTAATATATACTGCACCAAAAGAGAGTGTTTATAGCTCAGGGTCCAACTGTGGAGTCCTTGATGCTTTTTGAGCTTGGTTATCTTGCAGACGTTTCCTGGGCCAACAAGATTAGTTTATTACTCATATGTATGTATGTATGTATATAGCATGTGTATAGTCATAACACAAGTGGCCAGTGAAGTCAAGAGTATGATAGGTTTTGTGTGTTAGGTATGGATATGGGTAGATATATTCTGTCTTTTGAGAGCAGGCTCCAGAGTTTCATTTTTAATGTGGGCACAGGATGCTGATAATAAAAAATGACAATAAAGGTTATCTTATCAATATGAGATCATCAGCATCAGAGCACCATCAACATCACCAGAGCACTGATGAGGCTATCTAGTCGGGTGAGGAAATGTCCCCAAGCAAACAACCAAGCTCAGAGAGAACCAAGGGCTCCACATAGATTGCACCAAAATAATTTCTGAAATACGTTGTCTGTTAAGGATAAATCTTTTATTCGCTCCCTAACTGCCAGGTGCGTAGGCCGGGTTAAGAGGGCGATTGCCCAAAGTTATTCAGTGGGCTTGAGCGCTCCACCGGTCTCCCATCAGTCACTCTATCTGTATGTCCATCTGCCTAGCTGTCCATCAACCCATCTATCAGTCCTAGCTGTCCATCAATCTATATGTCCATCCACCTATCACAGAGGTCCCCAACCTGTTGGGCACCAGGGACCGGTGCCATGGAGAAAGGTTTTTCCACGGACCGGAGAGGGTGTGGTTTTGTGTGCTGCTTGCATCCCAAGGATGGGGGCTTTGCTTGTTTGTGCGGCCTGGTTGCTGGCAGACTGGGGGTTGGGGACCCCTGACCTATCAGTCTATCTATCTGACAGACGGGCAGGTGGGCAGACAGATGTGCTGGCTGGGAATTCTGGGTGCTGCAGTCCACACGCGTTAAACTGCTGAGGTTGCGAGTTCAAAGTCTGCAGCAGAACCCAGAGCCCACTGAAGAACTTGGGACAGTCCCTTCCTTAATTCCCAGGTCTATGGGAGGGAGGATAAAATGGTGGGGGAGGGGAAAGTCTCCCCCACTGAGCTTAGGGGAGAGGGGGTAAGCTCCCTTTTGGGGGGGGAGGAAGAACAACCCCTCCCCAGACTATCACGGCAAGGGCATCTGAGGGCAGACTCGAACCCGGGTCCTCTCCCCCCCCCTCCAACTTCTCCCCCCCCCCCAAGCTCCTAAATTCTGCTCTACGAACTGAACTTGGGAGGGGAGGAAGTGACGTCACTCCCTTCCAAAGGGGGCGTGGCCGAGCCAAAGAGGGCCAACAGGGGGAGGTTCCCCTCGCGCCTCCTCGCCCTGCCTGAACAGCCCCAGGCGGGAGAGCGGCGGCGGCCCTGGCCGGCGGAGAGGCGGGGACCCTGCGGCCCCCCGACAGGCCCCCCCCACGGCCGCCTCCACACCTGGGACTGGGAAGCCGAGGAACCGCGGGCTCCTGCCTTCGCCTCGCTCGACCCTCCGCTTCGGACGCCTTCGCTCCGGAAATGTCGCCCAGCAGGGGAAGTGGCCGCCACTTCCGTTTCCGCCTCTCTTTAAGGTACTCTAGGGATGAGGCGGAGAGACAGTGCCTTTCGTGGGAAGGTATACTGGGGCGCATGCGCGCGAGAGGGGCAAGGCGGTTGGAAGAGGAGCTCGCGGGGTGCTGGGCATGCGTATTGGCGATATTGGGGCAAGCTGCGGGTTGCTGCTTAGGGAAGCTGGCTCAGCGTTTTTTCTCGACCTTTAAAGTGTCAGGACTGCCAATTCCCAGAATTCCTCGCCTCGCAGGCTTTAAGGTGGGTGGACTTCAACTCCCAGAATCCTCCTGGTCAGGGACTTAGGGGAGTTTTATTTATTTTTTGTTATTCAGCTTTTATAACTTTTTTATAACAACTTTGAAAATGGTAATTTTATAACTTTTTTTTATAAGTGAATTGAAGTTTAGGCGTCTTAAAGTTGCTAAGCTTGAGAAATGCCGAGCTAGACCATAAGCCAGACCTTGAAATGTTGTAATGTCTGTCAAACGGTCAAAACTTTGTGGGGAATTTAGCAAAATCGATGCGTGTGCAAAAATGCATGTGTAACTGTAAATGCCCAATATATTATTTAGAAAAGCGTCAGGTCACCGGTTTTTATTACTGTTTTCCTAAAGGTTTGTATCCCTTTAAAACAGTGTTTCTCAACCTTGACAATTTTAAGGCACGTGGACTTCAACTCCCAGAATTCCACAGCCAGCAGTGCTGGCTGTGGAATTCTGGGAGTTGAAGTCCACATGCCTTAAAATTGTCAAGGTTGAGAAACACTGCTTTAAAATTTTATCCGATTTTTCCTCTAAAAGAGCAATTGACAAACTCACAAGCCATCTTGTAGAAAGCCATTTTTATTTTTATTTTTACAATATACATATAATACTTAATAGAGATTTTCTGGGTCATCCAAAATTTAATCTCTAGGCAAGAATGTGACACATAACTTCTGCAGAATCAGTGGCTCTTAGGCAGATAATTGATACATAAAGTGCATTTAATAATTCGAAGCACCTTTTTCAAGCATAATTCCGCAGTCATCACACTTAAAATGATCATGTTTAGTTCTTTTTTTTGTTTTGTTCATGTTTTAATTTCAGTTTTCTTCTAAGAATTTCAAAGAGCATGCATACTATTTTCTGCCGTTTGTTCCACAAGAAACCTTGTTCCACAAGAAACCCTACGAGGTAGATTAAGATAAGAGATAGTGGCTAATTCAAAGTCATAACACAAGTGGCCAGTGAAGTCAAGAGGCACTTCATTCAGGCACTTCATTCGAAGAGGCACTTTGAATGATTTGATAGCTTTTAGATAGCCCTAGCCATGCCTACTTTTCCAGATCGATTCCTTTCCTGTCATCTTGCAAAGATTTAGATCCCATCCCTGTCACCTTGCAGAGATTTAGACCAGATCATCCCTATCCTCTTGCCAACCTCTAGGTCCAGGTCCTGTTACCTTGCCAACATCTAGATCCAGATTCCACCCATGTCACCTTGCAAAGTTCTAGGTCCACCCCACCCTGTTCTCTTGCAAATATCTAGTAGATCCAGCTTACATCACTATTCTTTTGCAAAGATTTAGATCCTGCTTCTATCCCTGTTATTTGCAAAGTCCCAGATACTTTCCCTTGCAAAAGAAAGAAAGAAAGAAAAACCTCTTTGTTTTGTATGGCTGAGTATCTTAGAAGGCGAACTGGGGTGTGCACATATGGATGGCCACCTGCTTTGGTGTACCTAGATGTGTTGATACATTCCTCTCGAACATGGATAACGAGTCTGAAGGACTCTACATTTCACATACACAGAAGTTGCTGTCCATGTTCCAATACAAGGGCCAGAATTTTAGAAATGCTTTGGGGTGGCTTTTCAACAAGACCTCCAACCTGTAATAATTCATCACTGTGCTTCTCAGTTTTACACTTGTGATAAGAACCCCATGAGCCAACACAGTGCTAGGCTGCATTAACAGAGGGATAGAATCAAGATCACGTGAAGTGTTAATACCACTTTACAATGCCTTGGTAAGGCCGTACTTGGAATACTGCATCCAGTTTTGGTCACCACGATGTAAAAAAGATGTTGAGACTCTGGAAAGAGTGCAGAGAAGAGCAACAAAGATGATTAGGAGACTGGAGGCTAAAATATATAAAGGACGGTTGATGGAATTGGGTATGTCTAGTTTAATGAAGAGAAGGACTCGGGTGACATGATAGCAGTGTTCCAGTATCTCAGGGGCTGCCCCAAAGAAGAGGGAGTCAACCTATTCTCCAAAGCACCTGAAGGCAGGACAAGAAGCAACGGATGGAAACTAATCAAGGAGAGAAGCAACCTGGAACTAAGGAGGAATTTCCTGACAGTGAGAACAATTAACCAGTGGAACAACCTGCCTCCAGAAGCTATGAATGCTCCAACACTGGAAGTTTTTTAAAAAAAGGCTGGACAGCCATTTGTCTGAAATGGTGTAGGGTTTCCTACCTGAGCAGGTAGTTGGACTAGATGACCTCCAAGGTCCCTTCCAACTTTATTACTATTATTGTTATAACTCCATGCTGGAAAAACACTTTCACTCAGTGTGGACTATCTAGCCACCCACATCACAGGATTATTCGCGGATTCGAATGAAGTGCCTCTTTAGATCAGCTTAGGCTCCGAGACAATTCAAAGGATATTCTGTGTTAATAAAAGATCTCATGAAATCACACACACACACACACACGAGATATAAATCCCCCATTTTTCTTTGCAGCAAGCTAGTAACATCGTTGTGGGCAGCTGAGCCACATCAAACCAAGCAATAAATCCTATCGGTTAAGTAATCCCTTGCCCCCCTTCTTGGACAGAGGTCACCCTCCACTCTTTCCAGCTCTCCCTTGCTAGAAACGGGATTTGACCCGGAAGTGTTCACATTTCTTATACTTCATCGTCAGGCCATACTCGGGAGTTGGATCCATCATCTCTGTGCCAGACAGGGTGAATTCCAGTTTTTGCACCAAAGTGGTCAGAAACAGGAACACCTCCCATTTTGCAATGTTCTGTCCAATGCATTGCCTTTTGCCCAAGCCAAAAACCATCACTTTTTCACACTCTGCTCGGTTGATTCCTGTCCCGTCAGTCGCAAGAAATCGTTCCGGGTTGAAAACAGAAGGCTCATTCCAAAGTTTCCTGAAGGAAAAAAAAAATGCAAACACACCATCTAGGTCAGGGGGTCTTCAAACTTGGCCCTTTTATGACTTGTGGACTTCAATTCCCAGAATTCCTCAGCCAGGCACGCGGGGTCTTCAAATTTGGCCCTTTTAATGACTTGTGGACTTCAACTCCCAGAATTCCTCAGCCAGGCACGCGTGCCTGGCTGAGGAATTCAGGGAGTTGAAGTCCACAAGTCATAAAAGGGCCAAGTTTGAAGACCCCTGATCTAGGTTATCCCTTTATGAAACTTCCAAGGCAGAGTAGGAGAAAGCACACATTCAAATATCCTTCGCCTAGCCAGATTAAAGCAACCACATTTGAGTTGGAACACGACTCCTGAAGTTGCCAACCCTTTCCTTCAGTAACTATGTAGGAGCTACTAAGGTTTTGTGAAGATTTCATCCAGTCTCTCCTTTTTAGCCAGATCTTCCAATTGCCAAATGGATTTGGTGATCAGGTAGATCTTTTGTGAGTGTATTACACATACTTCTTAGGGAACAGATGTTGAGTCGAATGATTTGAATCAAATTGAATTGACTCAGCGTATGCCCACAATTCCTCTAAATGTAAATTTCCAGATGTGTGGACTTCAAATCCCAGAATTCCACAGCCATCTTGGCCATTGATGAGTATTCTGGGAACTGAAGTTCACCAATTTTTTAAGTTGCGAAGATTGGGAAACCGGAATCTAGAATAAAGATGGGAAAGAGCAGACAGCCCATAGTCCCCCCTCCAAAGGCTTGTAGGAAGCTTCTAAAGCCCTCATTACTTTTGCTATTAGTACTTAATCCCATGCACAAGTACCGGTATATTCAAGCTTGATTTACAACCACAATTGCAATTAGCTACGGGGGCTGTGAAAAGTCTTTGATTCAGTTCCCCAAAGGTAAGTCTTTTTAATATGTGGAAGTAACATACAGTAGTAACCCTTACTACAGCTCTTTAAAGCAGCTATGTCTGAATGAAATTTAAGGCACCACATGGCAGTAAATGCAACCCAGATTTTACAGTAATTGACTGCACAAAGAATTCTATTTGTGCTCCGCTTGGCAATTAGATAAAGTATTCTTGGCAATACTTACGGATCGTGGTTGACTTGCCATTGGTTCACAAACACACAAACATCTCTAGGAATATAGAAGCCATTCAGAACTGTGTCCCTAGTGGTGCTAAACAGAAAGAGAATATTTACAATAAGATAACAGACGGACTAGTATTAACAGAACCACATGAACACAGTCGGTTCTTTTGATAAGATTCAATCAACGATTTTGAAAACATGGAATGTAAGCACAAAGCAAACCAAGCAGTTGACAAACTACTATCTCTTGCTAGTCACTAATAGTATTTTCTGTTACCCTACAGTCACCATGGGGATGTGTTCACACGTCACACTAAGACACAGTTTGCCGAAGTCTAGCTTTTTGAATCTACCACAATGAGCTGAGTTCGCCCACAACAAAATCAGGACTATGTATTAAGTTGCAGTTCACAAGATCTATTGCTTAAGCCTACGCAAAAGAATCCAGTCAATGAAAGTTCAATATTAAATTGGCTCCAGAGAAGAGTCAATGGGATTCAAGAGGGATTGGATCTGGAGCATTTGTGGCAACCTAATGATTCTAACCTGATGGCAAGCTTAACTGCCTCCCAGCTCTGCCTGCTCTTCTCCCACATATTTGTTCCAAACTCTCTGCCCCCCCCCCCGCCTCCAATGATGGTGGTACTTCAAAGTACCTCAGGAGATCCTGGATCACTTGGCCACTCCTTTTTGTCATGTTGATCTCTAATTTTCTAACATAGGTTACTCTCCAGTCAGTTCAATCTTACCAGTGCGGGATTGTGAAGGGAATGAAGGACGAATGCCTGAACATCTCGTAGATAAAAGCTTCAGAGTAAGGGAGCATGGCACGGTCAGATTGTTTGGGTGTCCTTTCTCTTCCAATGATTTGGTCTGTGGGTCAGGAGAAAAACAGAAATAAGAGTCATTTTGGTCTACTGGTGAAAGCACTTAAACAGGAGGTGGTGAGTTCAGGTCCCATGAAAGCCAGGTGGGTGACTTTGGGCCCATCACCAGGAGACGGTGAGTTCTAGTCGTGCCTTAGGCAGGAAAACCAGCTGGGTGACTGGGCCAGTCCCTTTCTCTCGGCCCAACTCACTTCACCGGGTTGTTATTGTGGGGAAAATAGGAGAAGGAAGGTGTGTTGTATATGTACACCGCCTTGAGTTTCTTGTAAAAATAATAAAAGCAGGATACAAATCAATAAGTAAATCAATAAGATTTACAGAATATCGATGGAAAGCCAGACTTGGAAAGGGACTTTTAAAGCTCAACAGATCTGGATTTACCTAGTTCTTCTTGAATTCTCCTCTGGGTTTCTGGGTAAGTCACCAGATACAGAAGGCACCAGGAGAGAGCAGTAGTGACCGTATCAAATCCTGGACAGACACAAAAAAAAGAGAGGGGAAAAAAAGCATTTAAGCATCAAATGTAGAATTGGGTCTCCCTGTATGATATTAAATGCTTTCATTTAACCACCAGCATGTGAACCATATCTAATGTGACGTCATCCAGGGCTTAGCTCATTTTGGAGAAGCAAGTAAGCGTGCTCAGAAGGTGGCTTGAGTGAATGGCATCGTTTTCGCCAATCGCCAAAGGCTTTTAGCCTGAAATCACGCTGGCTTGGGAATGCTGGGAGATGAAGTCCACATATCTTCAGGTGGCCACGGTTGAGAAGCACTGGCCTCAAAGGTCTCCAAATGGTAGGGTTAAATTAAATCTGGAGGACTCTATTGGAAAAAATATGTTACAGCCTGCCAAGCTGAAATTTTCATTATCACATGCAATACTACCAAGGATGATGAAGGTGACTCATCTCCTTCCCATCTGTCAATTATGTCTTGACCCAAAAAATAAAAAAACGAGGAAAGATACAGTAATGCAGGGGTGTCAAACTCAATTTCATTGAGGGCCGCATCAGCATTGCGGTTGCCCTGGGGGGGGCGGGGGTGTGTGGCCAGGGTGGGTGCACCCTACTGGGGGGGCGTGGATGGAGTGGGTGTGGCCTACTGGATGGGCATGGCCAGCTCTACGTCGTTTGCGTCAAGGGTGCCTGTGGGGGCCTGGGCAGGAGTGGGACAGATCTGAGGGTCTCTGGCAGAAGGGGGTGGGACCGTGGCAAGCGCCAAGGCATGGTCCATTTCTTCATTCCTCACAAAGGGTGACCCCTCCCCAGCATGCACCCAGAGGACAAGGCTGACACACAGCAGGGGCTGCTTCCTCGCTGTTTCCAGATGGTCTTATGGAGCTAAGACTGAATGCGTTTCAGCATAGATGGCCACCACAAAATTGCACATTGGCTCCCGGCCGGCCTGGGCCAGGGCCAAGGCAGCGGGGGCCATTCCCTCACTGTTTCCAGGATGGCTTCGCGGGCCACGTGAAACCACTTTGCGGGCCACATCTGGCCCCCGGGCCTTGTGTTTGACACGTCTGCAGTAATGGCTGAGAAACATGCAAAGATGGGACCCAGTTTGTGCATCTGGGTGAATTATGAATCAGAGATGGGTCTTGATGGCTACAAAGATTTATTTTCTTTAAACGCATTGACACCTGTCTGTTAAATGGAGGGTGCTGAAATGGTCCTGGGAAGAAGAAAAAAGGGGCATCGGTTTCTTACCCGCTCCAAAGAGTTCGTTGACGATACCAACAATGTTCTGATCCTTGAGTGCATTGTTGCCATTTAAGTTCATTTTTTTATCCTGGCAGAAGCTGATGAGGGAGTCCGTGATATCTCGGATGTTGTCCTGGAATGCAGACCAGAAGGAGAGATGTGACACCAACGTCCAGCCCGCATGACTCTCAATTTCACAAAGAACAAACACTGTTATTTAGATGCCCACATGCCAAATACTTTTCTGCAAACTAGGTCATGAGGAGTCGTTCTCACGGAGTATTGGTTAAAAGTGGTTTGTGGAATAAGCCAGGATTGGCTGGGTCCACATCCTCCACTGACGCGGGTAATATTCAAACCACAGTGTTGGAATTCACCTATCACATCAAGCCATGATGTGTCCAGTTTGCTTTGCTTAGCATGCTGTGCAAAGTCAGCCATAGTGATTAACTCAGTTAATAAGAGGTGATCAACTTAACACACTGTTCCTCAGCTTCAGCAACTTCAAGATGTAGGGACTTCAACTCCCAGCATTCCTCAGCCAGAATCCTGGGAGTTGGAAGTCCACATATCCTGAAGTTGCCGAGATTGAGAAAAACTTATTTAAGGCATTAAGACAGGGGTCTTCAAACTTGGCCCTTTTATGACTTGTGGACTTCAACTCCCAGAATTCCTCAGCCAGAGTGCCTGGCTGAGGAATTCTGGGAGTTAAGGTCCACAAGTCATAAAAGGGCCAAGTTTGAAGACCCCTGCATTGACCAAAATATAACCCCTTCCAATGTTTCCCTCTAAGCCAGACATGTCAAACACAAGGCCTGGGGGCCGGATGCGGCCCACGAAGTGGTTTCATGTGGCCCGCGAAGCCATCCTGGAAACAGTGAGGGAACGGCCCCTGCTGCCTTCGCCCTGGCCCAGGCCGGCCAGGAGCCAATGTACAATTTTGTGGTGGCCATCTATGCTGAAATGCATTCAGTCTTAGCTCCACAAGGCCGTCTGGAAACACCAAGGAACCAGCCCCTGCCGTGTCGGCCCCGCCCCCTGGGTGCATGCTGGGGAGGAGTCACCCTTTGTGAGGAATGAAGAAATGCACCATGCCTTGGCGCTTGCCCCGGGCCCACCCCCTTCTGGCAGAGACCCTCAGATCTATCCCACTCCTGCCCAGGCCCCCACAGGCACCCTTGATGCGAACGATGTAGAGCTGGCCCACCCAGTAGGCCACACCCACCCCAGCCACGCCCATCCAGTAGGCCGCACCCACCCTGGCCACATACCCCCGCCCCCCTGAGGGCAACCGCAATGCTGATGCGGCTCTCAATGAAATTGAGTTTGACACCCCTGCTCTAAGCCTTGCTTGGTGACTATATACAATCCTAATGTCTAATGACACACCTTGTCAAAGGCCTCATAGTGTTCTTTAACCAGCTTCTCCACCAGCATGTTGAATCGCCGGTTCAGATCTTTGAAGACTTCCATGCTGCGACTGGGAAGATATTGGAGGATTGGGAAGAAATCCGATGGATTTCCAGATGAGGCCACCAGCCCAAAATCATTGTTCATGTCCACTATCTTCAGAAGTTCTTGGTCCTCGTGGTTGTAACGCTTCCCAAAGCACATGGCACAGATGACGTTGACTACGGAGATCACTATATACTGGAAGGGCTCAAAACTCTCCTTCTCTCTCATCAGATCTTGGAATTTCATGACCAGGTACTCTGCCTCTTTGGAGATGTGCTCCTCCAGCAGGCAAGTCGACGAGTTTGGGCTTGTTGAGGTCGCAAAGGTCTTGAGCGCATTCTGGGCCAGCTTTCGGCGAGTGCGCCAGCTTTCCTCAGAATTCCTCCCAAAGGTGAAGGTCTGACCATCACCAATGAACTTGAAGCTGTGGAGATCTGGACGTCCACTAAAGTCGCTCCCTTGCTTCACTAGGGCTTGCTTGATGGTTTCCAGCCCGCTCAGCACCACCACTGGCTTTGCGCCAAGATGGATTAACATGACATCTCCATACTTCTGGCTCATCTGGGTCAACGACAGATGAGGATTTTTTCCCAGGTCTAAGATATTTCCAATCAAGGGATACCCCCTCGGCCCTCGTAGCTTCCTTAATCCTGGTGGGATCCGTTGCCGAATTCTGAAGAGGAGCAGCAGGAGACAGAAAACAGTAGTGCCGATCAGGATTTCTGGGACAGAGACCATGTTTTTGCTTCCGATCAATACCGACTTCATCGTCCTCAATAAGCTGGTGAGCCAAGAAACAGAGAAGAAAGGAAAGGGGTGAATGTATGTATTTATGTATCTGTTTGGTATTGTGTAGTGTTCATCTTTTTTTTTTAACTTTGTCAAAACGCTCCTTTAGTTTCATATGTGTACATGTGTCTCCCAATATAGAGATATTGTATTTGGACATTTCTTGGATAGTGTCATGTGTTTTCCCAGTTTTGTATAGGCTTCTCAGATTCCACGTACCAAGTCATAGTTTTGGGTTTATCATGCTTCTAGCGGACCGGGAGATTCTGAGCACCCCTGCCCCATTTAAGGGGCATCCGTCCTGGGGCCATTATTAGGTTTTGCCGCTATTAACATGATTTTTCCTGGGAAATATATAGTGTAGTTGTCTTTTGCTTTCTACACCGCTATGCACGCGCTCTTCAAGTGGCTACTCAGCAGCACTTTTTCATGCAGCTGCTGATAAAAACAGGATCGCCAACATGATCGCCAACGTCCGATAACGGATATGGCACAAGAAGAAGTACATGTGTCTACAGCCCAAAGAGCCATTGTTGAGCCATCTCAAAAAGGTAATTGATGACTTCCATTTTCAGCCCGCCAGCTACTGGTCTTCTTCAAAGAAACTCAAACAAAGAGAGTGATGTTAGTTTGTTTACTGAAATGGATGAGACTCTTTCTAGAGTGCAGAGAAGAGCAACCAAGATGATTAGGGGGACTGGAGGCTAAAACATGCAAAGAACAGTTGCAGGGTTTGGGTGTGGCTAGTCTACTCTACAGAAAAGAAGGACTGGGGGGGACATGATAGCAGTGGTACAATATTTGAGGGGCTGTCACAGAGAGAAGGGGTCAACTTATGTTCCAGAGCACCAGAAGGCAAGACAAGAAATAACAGATGGAAACTCATCAAGGAGAGAAGCAACCTGGAATTATGGAGAAACTGCCTAACAGTGAGGACAATTAACCAGTGGAACAGCTTGCCACCAGAAGTTGTGGGTGCTCCATCACTGGAGGTTTTTAAGAAGAGGCTGGATAGCCACCTGTCTGAAATGGTCTAGGGTCTCCTGCTTTAGCAGGGGGTTGGACTAGAAGACCTCTAAGGTTCCTTCCAGCTCTACTCTGAAATCTCAGGCTCCTGGGATTGTCATTTGCAACCTTCGCAATGGGGGAAGCCAGCTTCCCTTAATGACCACAGGATTCACTTAAGAACTGCAAATGATTCGCTTAACACAGTGGTTCTCAACCTTTTTAATGCTGCGACCCCCAACCGGTCATAAGTCAAGGGCTACTCAACCGGTCGTAAGTCGAGGACTACTCAACTGGTGCAGCACCGTTTGCAGACTGGGGCTTTTGGCGGGCTCAGCAGGGCAGAGACAGCCTGGACAATTCCTATTGGCTTTTGAAAGCCAATAGAATTAGACTCTATTCAAGAGAGTCTATTCTATTGGCTTTCAAAAGCCACTAGAATAAAAGGGAGTAGCACAGCTAAGGAAAAGGGGGAAAAAATGGCGGACTGCGTTGTTTGGCGACCCCCGTGAAATGGTCGTTCGACCCCAAATGGGGTCCCGACCCACAGGTGGAGAACCACTGGCTTAACAGCCATGGCTTAAAGGGTCCTAAAATTAAACACCCCCCCACAACTGCTTTGCTTAGCCACAGAAATTCTGGACCTGTCATCGTAAATCAAGGACTATCTGTGCATTCATAGATTCAAAGCACCCTCACCTACAAAAGGACTCTTTTTCAGAGGTTTCCGAATAGGTGCCAATCCGAATTCACCCGCTAGACTAGAGAGAGGGGCACAGAATCCACATTCTGCGTTTCACATTTTATCTTAATAAAAGAAGCGATTTCCCAGCGTGGACTTACCAACACCAAAATCAAAGTCTAAATGAAAGGCAGGGTTTTTCAGGAGGACACGCGTGGAGACTCACCCACAGCCCACGTTGGGGAAAAAAAACGGGGGAAATCGAGGCGCGGACCTCCGACCTGCTCTGGATTCGCTCGCCCGGCACCGAAAACGGCTTCAGTCCGGCGTCGCTCCGCTTTCTCCGGCGAAGAGAAGATGCCCGGGGATTAAACCGCAGCGCAGAACTTCGCTGGGTTAAAGCGCCGCTCGGTTCCAGCTTTATATGCCCCTCCTCGGGCTCTGATTGGACGGCGGTTTTCGCGTCAGGTGACAGCGGTTCCTCTTGAAACCCAGGTTGACACCAGACACGCGTCCGGGGTGCGCTTGTGGACGGGTGCAACGGTGGGGCGCAGTTCTCCCGGTTGCCAATGGGGTTTACTCACGAGTAAAGGCAGCTTCGGGCGCTTCCTGGAGATTTTGCCTGAAAGATCATTCTTGCTCTCCCTTGAGATAGAAATTATTATTATTTATTATTAATAATAATTATTAATTATTATTATTATTATTCACACGGTCAGCCAGATGTTCAGACTGGGTTTGGCATTTTTGTCTACCTATCCTTATAGGCAGATGGGGATTAATATTAATATTAATAATTGCACAGTCAGCCAGATGTTCAATGTGGGTTTGACATTTTTGTCTTACCAAGGACCTGGGATAGGCAGATGTGGATGTTTTATGGTGTTAACAGAAATCGTCACAGGATGGAAGCTATCCCCAATAAAATCACCTTTTGCAATTGAATAATAATGATGACGATGATGATAATAATAATAATAATAATTCACAAATCCAAGTATTAACACGTTGGAGCCCAACTCTCCTTTCTCCTCCGCCAGCAAAAGCATCCCGCAGGTCCACCTCTCTCCCCCCCAACCCCGACACCTGCATAGAGGTCCCTGCTTACCTGAGAGTAAACCCCAGGGCAATTCAGCAAGGTTGACCATCTACATCCGAAATGTAAAGTTTGCCTGCGACAAACAAACAGCAAGTTCTCCGCCCGGCGCCCAGTTTAACTTTTGCTGCGTTTGTCGGGACCAATGTCAGGTAGATGGAGGAAGGAGTGCAACTTTGCTCGTCTGCCTGGTGGATCAGGACCCTCAAGGCTCTTTCCGGCTTGGGGGGGGGGGGATCTTGTCCAATGTGGCTGCTGCCAACAGCTCAGCCAGTTTAGCCAACGTCCAGGCAGTCCTCGACTTACAGCAATTCATTTAGTGACCGTTCAGAGTTGCAGCGGCGCTGAAAAAAGTGACTTGTGACCTTTTCCCCCACACTTGCGTCCCCATGGTCAAAATTCAGACGTTTGGCAACCGACTCATATTTATGACACGGTTGCAGCGCCCCGGGGCCAGGTGATCCCCTTCTGCAACCTTCTGTCAAGCAAAGTCACTTAACAACCGGCTTACTAACTAATCAACTGCACGGGTTCACTGAACCACCGAGGCGAGGAAGGTCATAAAACGGGACAAAAACTTGCTTAACAACAGAAACAATGGGCTCCCTTGCGGTCAAGGAAGTGAAGGACTACCAGTACATGTGTGTGTGAGAGAATTTAGCCCTTTTGTCAATTGGTGGATTGGTTCAGAAAAAAAAAGTTTCACTGGGGTTCACGTCTAGCGATGAGTTAGGGCCTGGGAAATCCGGAGGAGTTTCTCCAGTCTCATCCCAGCCTCATAAATTGTGAATGGGATGTTGCAGAAAGTCACCTGGACAAGCTCCTGCAGGCTGTTTTGTGAAGGAAGAACACCCGTCTGTTGTCCTGTTTTGTTTTGCTTTTTTTCCTTAATAGCATTTCAGCTGCCTGTCCTCAACCAGGTGCCCTCGAGTGCCTTGGATCGCCATTCCCATCATCCCCAACCAGCCTGGCTGAATGAGGCAGGGATTGTAATTGTGGGATGCCTTCAGAGCCCTGGGTTTCAGCATGGGCTCATGGGTGTTGTATTGGCCCAGCACGCTTAAACCATCAATCAGAGTTAAGGGATATGTTTGGTTCGTGCAACACAGCAAAAAGGAACAGGAGGTACGAATTCATGTGGCAAAGGAAAACGTAAGAAAGCTCTCTTGCGGGTGCGAAGAACAGCCAGTGTTTGTACAAAGAAATCACACCGATAAAAAGGAGAGAATATTGTAGCTCGGGGTTGAAATGAGAGGTCCTGGGTGCTCTCTGAGCTTGGTTGTTCTCTTGCAGATGTTTTGTTACCCAACTAGATAACATCATCAGTGCTGCAAGAAAACAAGACCACCAAGGACCCCGAAAGAAATCATAACTGGAACGATAAACTCTAATAGCATCGGAAGCACGCCAAAAATAAAACAAAAGGGACAATTCACGACCCCGCATTTGAAGCCCTGAATCAATCACAAATTGTTTCCAAATCTAACAGTTGTGCAAAGCCAGGGCTCCCAGTTTGTTTCGGTTTAGCCATGATTTATCAGGTTGTGCAAACACAGCTTCAGAAAGATCTACCAACACGTGTCTTATCTCTCCGGTTTATCTTATCTGCCTCTTAAAGATTCTCCTTTTTCATGCTTTGATTTCTGACTTCTGATTTACCCCTGGGGTAAGTTTGTCTGGAGCCTCCTTTTGTCTAGCCCTGGAGCAAAGGGAGGAGGGGGGGGGTAGATGTTTGCTGAGTTGTGCGTGCGAAGCACCAGGGCCAGCCTTTGCCCCCTGTGCCTGTTGTCTTTTCCGGAGAAAAAAAAGTGGGAAGCAATCGGAACGCCCAGGCCAGGAAAAGGAGGGCTTGAAACTTCCTGAACAACAGGGCACCACTGTGGTGGCACGCAGAAGCAGCACACACACACACACACACACACACACACACACACACACTCCCTAGCTCCAAATTAAAAGGCCTTGAACTTAATCCCCAGTCTCTTCCAGCCAACAGAAGTGTGTGACTCAGCACATCAACAACTTGTGGACCCTATTTTCACTTGGTCAGTTTCCAAAACTTCACGCATGATGGTCTAATCCAATGTCTTTCAAACGTGGCTATTTTAAAATAGATGGACTTCAACTCCCTGGCTGGGGAATTCTGGGAGATTTTTTAAAATATTATTTCCCCCCCCCCAAGATCATAAATGAGTTTTTACATCTCCGATGTATTCTAATTTCGTAAATATCCAAAAGCTAATGTGTGATGATGTGATCCAATGGGTTTCAAACTCGGCTACTGGCTGGAGATTTCTGGAAGTTGAAGTCCACACTTTTTAAAGGTTACTTTTCCAGATCTTTAACACGTTTTCACAGCTCCAAGGTGAAAACGTGGTAAATGTTCAAAGGATAATGGATGATGGTCTAAACCGGCGTGTTTCGAACTTTTAAAACGTCCTGGCCAGGGAATTCTGGGAGTTGAAGTCCACATTTTTTTTTAAATGTTCTATTTCCAGATCTTTAACACTGTTTTCAGGGTTGGGAGAAAGCAAGCCAGCGAAGCCCTAAAGAAGGGATAGGCAACCTTGGCTCGTGGACTTCAACTCCCAGAATTCCTGAGCCAGCCATGCTGGCTCAGGAATTCTGGGAATTGAAGTCCACGCGTCCTAAAAGAGCCAAGGTTGGCTACCCTTGCCCTAAAGCAGTGTTTCCCAAACTTGACAATTTTAAGGCATGTGGACTTCAACTCCCAGAATTCCACAGCCAGCAATGCTGGCTGTGGAATTCTGGGAGTTGAAGTCCACATGCCTTAAAATTGTCAAGTTTGGGAAACACTGCCCTAAAGTGACCTGGCCGCATGCGGAGCGGAGAGGCGAGGCTGGCAGGCGAGGAGCGCGAAGTGAGCCGTTCGGACGCTCTTGCGTGCGATCGCTGCCTCCAGCCGGGTCGCCCTTGGCACGCCCGGAGCCGTCCCGCCAGGCACGCGATGGGCCGCGGCCGGCAAGAGGAAGCGGGGCAGGCGGGGCGTGCGCGGAGGCGGCGGGTGCAATGCCAGCTTCGCGTGCGGAGCGCAGCCTGTGAAAGGAGCCCGGGCGGAGACGCCGCGCTGCTTCGCCCTTGACACGCACTCCGGCCAGGAGCCCTGCGCTCGGCCTCGTGGGCGGGGGGGGGATGCGAACCCGACTAGATGGCATCGAAAGACCCACTGCTTGTGGTTTGAGTTACTTCCCAAGGGTCCTTCCTTCCTTCCCTCCTTCCGTCCCTCTTCCACTTTCCCTCCCTCCCTCCCTCCCTTTCTCTTTTCCTTCCTTCCTTTCTTCCTCCCTCCCTCTTCCTCTCTTTTCCTTCCTCTCTCCTTCCTTCCTTCCTCTCTTCCTCCCTCTTCCTCTTTTCCTTCCTTCCTCCCTCTTCCTCTCTTCCTTCCTCTCTCCTTCCTTCCTTCCTCTCTTCCTCCCTCTTCCTCTTTTCCTTCCTTCCTTCCTCTTCCTCTCTTCCTTCCTCTCTCCTTCCTTCCTTCCTCTCTTCCTCCCTCTTCCTCTTTTCCTTCCTTCCTTCCTCCCTCTTCCTCTCTTTTCCTTCCTCTCTCCGTCCTTCCTCTCTTCCTCCCTCTTCCTCTTTACCTTCCTTCCTTCCTTTCTTCCTCCCTCCCTCTTTCTCTCTTTTCCTTCCTCTCCTTCCTTCCCTCCCTCCCTTTCTCTCTTTTCCTCCCTCCATCCTTCCTTCCATCCCTCCTTCCTTCCTCCCTCTTCCTCTCTTTTCCTTCCTTCCTCCCTCTTTCTCTGTTTTCCTTCCTCCTTCCTTCCTTCCTTCTCTCTCTTTCTCCCTCCCTCCCTCCCTCCCTCCCTCCCTCCCTCTTCCTCTCTTTTCCTCTTTTCCTTCTTTCCTTCCTCTCTCCCTTCTCCTTTTCTTTCCATCTTTCCTTAATAAAATAATTGCGGAACTGCCCACTCCACTCTCTCGGTGCGGTTTGCTACTGACTTTAGCATCCATTTAACATCCCATTTAAAACTGGGCACCTGCTTTTCTGGGGACAGATGAAATCATTTCAAACCTTGCTGCTCATCTGAAATTTCCAAAGGAAACATTCACCCCGTGGATCATTTATTGCCTGTAGCTGTTCTCAAGTTATAACCATGACTGGGTCCAATTATATTTTCAGAGATTTGAGAAAGCAAGTCTCTCCAGGAAGAGATTTGGGATGGAACACAGATGAGACTATCTCCCAAGTGGCGGTGCATCCAGAATAACAGAAGGGACCTTGGAGGTCATCTAGTCCAGTGCTCTACTCAAGCAGGAAACCCTATATAGTGGTTCTCAACCTTTTT